CACCCGGTCACGAATGCCCACAGCTCGCCCACCGTCACGTAGCTGTAGAGATACGCCGAGCCGGTCAGCGGCACGTGGGCCCCGAACTCCGCGTAGCACAGCCCGGCCAGGACGGAGACCAGGGCTGCGATCAGGAATGAGATGATGATGCTGGGCCCCGAGCTGGCTTTGGCCACTTCCCCTGCCAGGACATACACCCCGGCCCCCAGCGTGCTGCCCACCCCCAGCGCCACGAGGTCCAGGGTGGAGAGGCATCGGCGGAGGGCAGATCCCTCGGAGCTGCCGGGGGCAATCGGCTTCCTCCGGGAAAGCATCTGGAAGATGGACCTCAGGGCTGCCCAGGCCGGCATCTGGAAGACAGGAAATGCTGGGGAGGGGGGACAGCTGCATGCCAGGCGGTTGCCCCAGGGAGGTGCCAGATTTGCCCTTCTTTGCAGCTTCCTCCTGGCTCTGAGACGAGATCCCCATTACATGAACCAGCCCGCAAACATCCTCCGGGGACTGTCTACGGGGTGTCGCTGAGCTGGAGAAGCTGAACTGGTGGGACACTGTCAGCATGGCAGTCCCGGTCCAAGAGCAGACAACCAGGCGCCAAGACAGCCCGTGTCATTTGCCTGCCTCAAAGTGCCTTGGGAAATGCCACTCTCCCCATTTTACTGATGGGGAAACCGAGGCCCAGAGAGGCAAAGTAACTTCCCCGAGGTGCCACCACAAAGCTAGGACTGGACTCCATGACCCATGAGACAGCAGCCTGTGCCCAGCGCACCGGACCATGCTCATGGCCTGAACGGTCGACGGCAGTGATGCCCTTTGGCCCCTGCCAGCAGACAGCAGTGCCCAGGGACGCTTCTCAGCACCCCCCTGCTGCACATGCATTCCTGGGGGCAGCCCCGAGTTTATTAGGCTTTTACGCTCCCCCCAGCCACTTTCTGCAGGTCAGGCTCCAGGGCTCAGCAAATGTGGAGCCTCTGCCCCACCTCGGAGAGCAGCAAGGTGGCTGCTTGCTTTTAAATCGCCTAAATCCGCTACTTACAGCATCGGTACCGTGTGTGCCTGGGAGCCCTGGGTCACGGCAGTTCGACTGGGAGCTCTGCAAAAGGCTCCCATGGGACTGAGGGCCATCAGCTGCAGGGAGGGTGCTGCCCGCAGCCCGGTCTCTGAACTGGGACTGTGCCTGCCTGGCACTGGTCCTGCCACTGAGCAGCGGAAGCAGCTCGTGGCACCCTCTTCCCTGGATGCACAGGTCAGCCTGGAGCCCCGAATGCAGTGTGGCTGCCCTGTGTAGCACCCCACTCCTGCCGGGGCCACGGCCGTGCCAGCAGCACCACACCCCAGTGGCTGCAGGAGCAACGGGTCAGCATCCCCAAGCCCTCCGTGTCTGAGCCGGGGGGGCTCAGAAGCAGCTTCCTTTCTGCCCTGTCTCTTTGGCCATGTCTTGCCTGGCTCATTGCCACGGGAGGCATGAAAGCAGTATAAAGTCCCGTGTATCGGATCCTGCTCAACACACGACCCTGCTTCCTTTCTCGGGCCTGTTCTCGTGTTTCACCTGCACGTGGCCTGATGGAAACTCTACCCTGGCTTCTCCCCATCCTCTGCCCATCCGGCCCCAAACCGCTGCTGTCCCAGGATGGGTGACGTCCCTTCCTCTCTTTGCCAGCCGCTCTCCGGCCACTTTGCATTGCAAAGTCTGACCCGATTCTTTTTTTCTTTCCCTTTCCAAAATAAGCTACTTACGTCTCGGCTCCTTCGGGATAGCACGTGCCAGCTCGGACCTGAGAGCGAGCCGGGTACATCCAGCCGCGGAGGGGAATAGTTACGCTCTCCGCGCTTCAATCCATGTCATCAGAAGCCTGGCCCTTCCCTCGGCCGGCCTGCCCACCTCCCCCTGCCCTCCGCCGGCCACTCCGGTGGGCCGCACAATGGGGAATCTATGCAGAAATATTTTTCCCACAACAGTTTCCAAATCATACTCGTGGTGCACAATGCTAATAGGCTCAAGCATATTATCCACCAGCTTTAATTAGCATTTGGACATTCCCAAGGCTGGTTGAGAAGGAGTAGCCTTGCCCTCTCTGGTTTTTTCTCCTGTTTTGCCCTCTCTTTCTCCCACACATTGGGAGCCATGTTGTTTGTTCCTTTTAGGGTCAAAAGGCAAGGAAGGAGGGTCAGGGATGGAGAAGAGGACACTGAAAGCTAAGCCCAGTGCCAAAGGGGACTGGACAAATAAATACCTGGGGGAAAGGTCTGCTGGTAGGTGCAGAACAGGATAGCGAGGGGGACAGCTTCTGAACTAAAACTTCCTACCCCTTTGAATGCTGGAAACTGCCGTGGGAGAGGAGCAGAAGGTGGGAAACCCTCCGCCACAAGTGCCTCTACACATGCATTAACACGCTTTAGTTAATGAGCATTAAATCTAGCCCCTCCATTGCTTCAGCTCGCCTTGCAGCAGGACTGGACACCAACGCGGCTCTCCGGCGCAGGGAAGAGGGTGGCCTGGCATGGCCAGTGGCAAACAAGGCATTTATTGTCCTCAGCGGCTGCCTCTTCTAAGGCACCAGATCACGGCGCCGGGCGTGAGCGTCACCCCAGCCAACTCAGAAACCAAAGAAAAAGGCCGGGGTTGTATTACCAAGCAGGCCAGGTCCGGGGGACGCGCAGGCTGTCATTCAGCGGCCAGTGGGTGGATCTGAACTCGGGCTCCCAGCAAGCGTCCACAAAGCTCGTGCTTTCCCCCGCCACTCCAACCCCGCTGCCTTCTCGGTGCTGAGACCACCAACAACTCCTGCACTCCCCCCGTCCTTCTGCCTGGCTTATACTTCGATGGCAGGGGCCATCGGTTCTGCATTCATGCAGCCCTGCTCCCGGGCGACGGGAGCGCCTGGGCTCACCCACAGCACAAATAGGAAGTGGTGCTAATAACGAACCCAGCTCTGCAACGAGGGCCGTGCTATTCATTTGGGTGGGGAGCGTCTCATCAGGGGAGCAAAGCAACGTCCCCCCTTGCTTCTGCCAGAATGGAAAGCCCTTATCTCTACTTGGGTTAGTCTATAAGGTGCAAGCCTACCCTGCCCTTCTGCTTTAGCCATGCCTGGGATGCTACCTCCGCCCCTTCCTACAGACCCTGCTGCCTCCTTTATCCAGGCCTTTGCCTTCCTTGCCAGCCTTGCTGCCTCAGTTTACCTGCTGAAGTAGGAAATAGGCTCAGGGAAGCACAGGATCCCCAGCCGTGCGCCGGGATAGGCAGCAGAGGGCAGTGCTGGTTCGTGCACCGCAGCGGGGCTGGGCTGGGGGGTCTCGGGCCAGGAGGGGGGTCAGCACAGGAGGGGGGTCAGAGAAGGCGATGGACATGGAAGAGGCGGGGGGCTGGGAGCGGGTGGGTACCGTTTCGCTGGGCTCCAAGCTGCTTTCTGAATTTTTGGGGGCTGACTCGTGCCTTTGCAAACCAGCAGCACTCTTCACTCGAACATGACTCACTCCGGCTGACTCATATCCTGCAGACATATCTTCATATCTTCAAGGACCCGGCTCTTCAGTCCCCCCCCACAAACGTTTTCCAATTTGCAAACATGCCTGACCAAAGCAAACTTCCCTCGACCCGATTCTGGGTGCCGTCAGCCTTGAGCTGCCAGCCGCCGGCCGCCGGTCATCGGCGAGTGCAGACAGGGCCTGATCCTGGCTGCTTTGGCCTTGACCGGGCCCGTGGTCCTGCCCCTCTCTGGGGCATTTTGACCCCTTCTCCCTGCAAGCCGCTGTGCATGCAGCCCTGGTCCTGCCTGTGTTTCTCTTCTGACCCCCCCGGCCCTTCCAACTGGGCCTCACGCAACAGCTGCCGGTCCACCCAAGCCAAGGATGGAGCTGTTTTTCTTCCTGCCAGCCCCAAATTAGGAGGGAAGTCCTGTCTGGATTACCATGGTGACTTCCATGAAGCAGCTGCATGCACTTAACATGCCTGTCCCATCCTTCCAGCTGCTGGCGTGACCTGCCTGGGAGACTGCTGTCCAGGCCCCGCTGCTTGGCCACAGCAGGGGGGGTCTGTGCAGACCCCCGGCCACAGGGTCTACCGCCTGGCCTGCCTGCATTGCAGCCTCTGGGTCCTGACACAGCCAGCTGCCATTTCCGAAGTCCTGGTGCTAGGAGCACTGCCAGGCACCGACTGGGTCCATGAGTCCATTAGGATGCGAGGGCGTTTGCCCTGTTAACCTCAGCTGGCAGCTGCTTGCAAAAGCTCATGCATCTCCAGTAGGCTCCAAGGTGCACACCTTAGCGTGGCTTCTCCGTGGTAAGGTCAAGGGCTGGGAGAGGGCAAACCTGGCTGAGAGGAGGAGGTTGGCGAGACTGATCTCTATCCGCCGCATTGCTGCAGGCACCTTATATGGTCTGATGCTGCCTAATCTCGCATCTCCGGGGTGAAGGATGCAGCTGCCTGCCCCACCCCGGCTGGGCCCTCCCCACCCTCCTGCAGCCCGAGCTGCTGCCAGCTCTGAGCAGCACAGAGGCAGCAAGCCCAAGGGCCTGAGACAGCTGCTTCCTTTTCCATGCCTTCATTCATGTACTTCCCTAGCAAAGCCTCCCCCCCACCCCCCGGCTTCCTCCGGAGCCTGGGGAAGTGGCAGGCCGAGGGGGGCTGCAGGTACAGGACCAGGGCACTTTAGAGCTGGCATCCCAGGGCATCAAGCATGATCCCTGCACCAGGCTCTGACGTCAAGGGTGCTGGCACAGGGATGGCTCAAGGGGCTCGTGCATCTTCGACCCTGGGGGCAGGCTATTGCACAGCTGATCTCCATTCCCCCTGCTGCAGGCAGGTATTTCACCAGCTGACAAGGGCTGGGTGTTGTTTTTCCGCAGCCTGCCGCCTCTCTGCTTGCCAGGCTGGGCTATTTCCCCTGGGGCTGGGTGGTCCGGAGGGCCCTGTGTCCCCCCTGGACCCCCACCTGCCGGGAGAGGGTGGCCGGGAGGGGCTGCCGGGGATTGGAAGAGCTGGAGGGAGTGACAGCTGCAGTGCAACTAGGAGGCTGGGCTTCCCCTGCCAGAGCCACACAGCCCAGCTGCTGCGGGGAGGCACTGCCGCTTCCAGCGCCCTGCACCAGAGGCCTCAGCACTGCAAGTAAGTCTGAGCCGCGCTGGGGGCCCCTGCCTCAAAGGGGGAGCTGGTACCCCACGGGGGAAAGACACCCTGGTAGCACCCCCCATGCTTGCAAAAGGGGCTTTGGGAGTTTTAGGCTCCCCCCGTGCCTGCCTTTAGGGTCGGTTCTGGATGCTCGATGCCCTGCCCTGCTCTGTGCCCACGCAGCCTGGCCCGTGGCACGCCTGCTGGAGCTGGCGCTCGGGGCACCGGGAC